CAACTAATAAAAATATATTCAAGGAATTAAAGGAAAATATACTCATACTGACTCAACAAATAGAGAATCTCAATAGAGAAATAGAAACTGTAAGATAAAACTAAAAAGAAATTCTAATTGCAAATACAATACCCAAATGAAAAATTCACCAGACTTAATAGCAAATTTGAGATAGCAGAAGAAAAAAATCAGTGAACTTGAGAAACGATCAATAGGAATTAAACAATCTAAATAAAGGAAAAACAATATGAAAAAAAATTTAGAAGACAAAAGAAAAATGTTCCTCAGTCACCTGTGGGATAACATTAAGCTTACCAATATACACATCACAGGATTCCTAGCAGGGGAGGAAAGAGGGAAAGGAGCAAGAAAAATATTTTTTTGATGAGGGGTGCCTGGTGGCTCAGCTGGTTAAGCGACTGCCTTCAGCTCAGGTCATGATCCTGGAGTCCCAGGATTGAGTCCCGCATCGGGCTCCCTGCTCAGCAGGGAGTCTTGCTTCTCCCTCTGACCCTCCCTCTTCTCACGCTCTCTCTCTCTATCTCATTCTCTCAAATAAATAAATAAAATCTTAAAAAAATTTTTTGATGAAATAATGGCGAACACTTAATGAAATTCCCAAGAAATCCATACCAAATTGCATCAGTCCAACTGCTAAAGACAAAGAGAACAAGAAGACAACAAGAGAACAAAAACAAGAAAAAATGATTCATTGCAAACAGAGGAACAACAATATGACATATTCAGTGGAAAAGCATATTCTAAGTGCTGAATTCTATAGCCAGCAAAACTATCCTTCAAAAATGAAGGTAAAATAAAGATATCCAGATTAAAAAAAGAAAAGTCTAAAAGAATCCATTCCTGTCAGACTTGTGTACAAGAAAAACTAAATTCTTCAGGCTGAAAGGAAAACCAACAGTAACTCAAATCCAGAGGAAGGAATTAAGAGTACTCAAAATGGTAAATATTTGGGTAAATATAAAGACTACATATATTTTTTTTCCTTTCTCCAAATTTCTTCAAAAAGCGTAAGACTGTTTAAAACAATAATTATAACAACATATTGTTGTGGTTATATATGGATGTGATATATGTGAAATAATAGTACAAAAGCAGGGGAGAGGAAACAAGGCTATATTGGAACAAAGCTACTATATTTTACTAGATTTTTTTTGTAAGGATTTTATTTATTCATTTGAGACACAGAGATACAGAGAGAGAGAGCATGAGTAGGGGGAGAGGCAGGGGGAGAGGGAGAAGCAGGCTCCCAACTGAGCCAGAAGCCTGACGTGGGGCTCGATCCCAGGATCCTGGGATCATGACCTGAGCTGAAGGCAGACGCTCAACCATCTGAGCCACCCAGGCACCCCTATTTTACTGGAATTCAGTATTAACCGGAAGTAGCTTGTGACAAGTTACAGATGCATATTGCAATCCTAGAGCAACCATTAATAAAATAACTATTTAAGAAATAGCTTTAGGGGTGCCTGGGTGGCTCAGTCATTAAGCATCTGCCTTCGGCTCAGGTCATGGTCCCAGGGTCCTGGGATGGAGCCCCGCATCGGGCTCCCTGCTCAGCGCAAAGCCTGCTCCTCCCTCTCCCCCTGCTTGTGTTCCCTCTCTCGCTGTGTCTCTCTCTGTCAAATAAATAAATAAAATCTTAAAAAAAAAAAAGAAATAGCTTTAAAAAAATCAGAGGAATTAATACACTAAGAAGTATAAAATATAAAATAATATAAATATCTAATATATAAAATATAAAAAATATATAAAAAAGAAGGCAATAAAGCAGTAGCAGAGGAATAAAAAAATAAGATGTAGAAAACAGCAAATAGGCATAAACCCAATCATGCTCATAAATACATTAAATGTTGAATGGACTAACTAATCAAAATGTAGAGTTGTCAGACTGGATAAAAAGGCAAGATCCAACTATATGGTGTCTACAAGAGACACCTCTTAAGTTCAAAACACAAATAGACTGGAACCAAAGGATGAGGGTTTCAGCACCACCGCCCACCAAAAAAAAAAGAGGATGAAAAAGATAATTCCTGAAAACAGTAATTATAAGAGAGCTGGATTTGCTATATTAATATCAGAAAAATTAAAACTTCAAAGACATATTCCTAGAGATAAAGAATATCTCATAAGAAAATAAATCTATCAACAAGATAAAACAATTATAAATGTATATATACTTAATAACAGAGTCCCAAAATACGTAAATTAAAAACTGACAAAACAGAAAGGAAAAATACACAATTCAACAACTGCAGTTGAAGATTCAATAATTTTCTCTTAGTAAATGACAGAACAATTAAACAGAAAATTAGGATATAGATAATTTACATCATGATCACCCAACTTGATCTAACATATATAAGAACAATCTCCCAACAATAGATCAATACACATTCTTTTCAAGCATACATGGTATGTTCCAGGACAAATCATATACCAGACAAATACATCACAAGAACAGAAAACTACAGACTGATAGCCCTCATGAATATAAGTTTTAAAAATCTGTACCAAAATACTAGCAAACAGAAACCAGTAACATAAAAAAGGGATCATACATTATGACCAAATGGGATTTATTTATTTATTTTATTCATGAGAGACAGAGAGAGAGAGAGAGAGAGAGGCAGAGGCAGAGGGAAAAGCAGGCTCCCTGCGGAGCAAGGAGCCTGATGCGGAACTCGATCCCAGGATCCTGAGCTGAAGGCAGACGCTTAATCAACTGAGCTACCCAGGCGCCCCCCAAATGGGATTTATACCAGGAATGCAGAATTGTTTATCATCTGCAAATTAATTAGTACTCTATATTAATAAAGGACAAAATCACATGATTCCATTAATAGATCAGGGTTTCCTCAGCAGTATTGACCTTTGGATCAGGCAATTCTTTGTTGTGGAGGGCTGTCTTGTGCACTGTAGGATGTTTACAGAATCCTGGAGCTACACCCACTAGATGCCACTAGCACCTTGCCCCTGCAAGCTGTGACCTCCAAAAACGTCTCCAGACATTGGCAAATATCCCCTAAGGGGCAAAATTATCCCTGTTTGAGGAGGACTGAAATAAATGCAGAAAAAACATTTGACAAAAATCCCAACACTCATTCATGTAAAAACTCAACAAAACAGGAATAGAAAGGAAGTTCCTCAAACTGATAAAGGACATCTAGGAAAACCCTACAACTAACATCATACTTAACAGTGAGAGACTAAATGCTCCTCTCCAAGCTTTCATAAGTATTTTGTGCTTTTTTTGTTCAACAAATTATACATATAGATTTATTTCAGAGAAAATCCTAACAACAAATAAGCTTTCTTTTGTTTCCAACTATATGTAAATCCAGGCTATGTTCAAATCAAAATTAGTTAGCACTTAATGCCTATGATATGGTCAAAAATTCAAATTCATTTTATAGTAATTAAATACCAACTATAAAAAGCACTGAATCCTTACAGCTCTGACAAAATACAGACATGAATTAAACAAAGACTCTAGTTTTAACAAGGTCGAAGCAATCTGCTGAAGTTAACTTTTTAAGGAAAAATTAAACCTAAACTTTTCAGATGAAATTGTTTTATTTTAAAATCTGGAGTGCTATTTTTACTATAGTATTTCTCATTTGTAGGAGGAAAACAGATACTCAACATTTCAAACGTAACTGGGAAGAAAGCAAACTGAATCATGATGACTAAGAAGAAACAAACTTTGGTTATAAAAGCTTTTCAGTTGATAATCTCATTCTATAAAACCGTTCTTTAGTAATCTAACCATTCCTTAGAATTCAGGTTTCCTTTATACAGATTTACTATACAATGAGTATAGTAACCACATACTTTCAAAACTACAAGCAGTTGGGGCGCCTGGGTGGCTCAGTTGGTTAAGCGACTGCCTTCGGCTCAGGTCATGATCCTGGAGTCCCGGGATCGAGTCCCGCATCGGGCTCCCTGCTCGGCAGGGAGTCTGCTTCTCCCTCTGACCCTCCCCCTCTCATGCTCTCTCTCTCTCTCTCTCATTCTCTCTCTCAAATAAATAAATAAAATCTAAAAAAAAACCAAAAAAAAAACTACAAGCAGCTCTGGTACGTTATTTTCTTAAAATAAGGTTTATGAACTACTAAGTCAAAATTAAGTTTAAAAGCATTTCCCTTCATACTTAACACATGACACCTGGATCTACACCTTTGTTTTGAATTAAAGAACATTAACTTTAAATTGAAAATTAAATTCAGTGAGGGAAAAAAGCTAGGATAGCTATGGTCATTCTTTTAACAAATATATTCCAGTTATGTATAATAGTTCTAGAGCTACTGTTAAATTTGTCCCTTTGCATTTTTGTAGCTATTCTAAAAAAGGTGAAAAGGTGATTTTATAGTCTTTATTGTCCTTGCCCTTCTTGTAACTATTCTTGGTATTTCTTGATCTTGGCATCTTGTATTTTACTTTAGACAAGAAGCTAGAGTAATAATCCCAGAAGGAAAGCTAAAGAAGGAATCTAAAACTGAAAACATTTACTCTTGCTTCTTTTCCTGTCTCCAATGAAAAAAACATCAACTCACAGGATATAGACTATCCTGCAGTAAGTTATCTCCCACCATGCCCCCTAACATATGTTCACACTCCAGAGAGTGCATTTTCTAGAAAGCAGTTGGCTTTCCTGCAAATATATTCCAATTTAATATGTTTATAGAAGTAGAAAAGCAATTGTTATATGAATTAATTCCCAAACTAGTAACACACAAAACTATAATCTAATATCCACAAATACTTAAATAATTAAAGAGACAACAGATAAAGTTGTGAATGTTATATATTCTAAAATTAACTGCAGTCAAGACAAAGAGATAAATTATACCTATCAGTAGTACTGCACTGGGCAAGGGAAAATATAACCATTCAAAACACATTAAGAGAACCTTTTAAAAATATATAGATCATTATTTCACAACTATGCTTTTACAATTTATGCCCACATGTAATCTTACCCTTCTGGTTTTGTTTCCTAGACATTGTGGTTTCTTTGATCTCAAAAAATATAGATGAAAAGTATCCTTTTGCCTTGTCTGAGTTCTGACCGTAGTTATCTCTGATTTAAAAGTAGGCAACGGAAGTCTGTTGTTGGAGGTGATAAATACCAAATCGTGGTTATCTGAAATTCTGCTCACTAGCTGTTGATCTCCTTTCCTTCTCTTGTATCAACTTCTTGTCAGGAAATATCATTGCAGACATTCATGTCTCTTTCTCCAGGGAGATTCTGGAGGGAAAACACACAAACACATTCACGATTACAGTAACAGCTATCTGTACAAAATTTCTAACAGATACCCACAGGTTTTACTTTGTATTTTTTCTAAACAAAACTAGCTATTAAAAAGAAAGTACTCTAGAAAGAATATAGTCATTAAAAGCATTATTTTGCTCCATAAGAAACTTTAATCTTAGAGAAAGAGACCCAACCAAGAAACAAACTGTGAACTATACAGAACAAACTGCCAATTACCAGAGGGGAGGGGGGTGGGGGGACAGATGAAATAGGGGATGGGGATTAAAGAGGGCACCTGTGATGAGCACCGTGTGTTGTATGGAATCGTTGAATCACTCTACCATACATCTGAAACTAATGTAACGGTGTATGTTAACTATACTGGAATTAAAAGAAAAAGAAACTTTAATCTTAAAATCAGACCATCTTCTTAGTTCAGAAAGAAATTGTCTTACTCTTATCTTTTGTATCTATCTCAAAAATCTTATCCCCAACTCTGCTTCACAAAGTATTACCTCTTATCACTCCCTAAGAACTTTACCACCTGCTCTTCCTGCCCAAATCAAGGGTCTTTCTTCTGCCTCTAGGAATTCCTGTGTCTAACCTCTCTTCCAATTTCCCAACTCAAATCCAGCTGCAAGAAAACTGGGGAAGGGGGTGGGTGAATGGGGAGATCACAAAGGAATTTTAATTGGAAACAGCAAAATTTCAACTAGTCACCAGTACAGGAAGCAAGCTGTAAAGATACAAATGCTATTTTTTCCCATATATTACTGAACTTTAAAAAATATATGACCAAGATTTCTGGGTAAAGAAAGCATGATCAAAGGACTCTTACATCTGGACACCTGATAGGTGCAACCCAAGAAGGAAATGAGAGCAACCTTATGTATAATACTTTCCAATATGAATGGAGAAGAATGAATAAGTAGACAGCCCTGGTACAGTTTAAAAAAAAAAAAATCCACCAAGAATAAGAGTCTCTGTGGATATAGAGAATAGATTGGTGGTTACCTGAGGCTGGGGGCGTAGAAAAAAACCGGTGAAGGGGGTCAAATGATTCATATTTCCAGTTATAAGGTAAGTCACAGGGATGTCACATACAGCAAGGTAACTAGTTCATACCATATTCCATATTTGAAAGTAGCTAGGAAAGTGGATCGTGAAAGTTCTTATCACAAGAAAAAAATTTTGTATAGTGAGAGATATTAACTGGACTGTGGTGATCATTTTGCAATATATACAAATACTGAGTTATTAGATTGTACACCTGAAACTAATATGTTATATCAATTATACTCCAAGAGTAAGATTCTCTACAAACCACTATGGGACTTGAGGAAAGACAGGCTGAACCTCTGGGGCTTACTATCTTTCAGAGAATTGAGCCAAATTGGGAGAATCAGCCAAAGCTTATGGAATTACATGGAATTTACCAATGCATAGAGTGGATCTGATAAAAATCTCTATAAAAATACTTTATGAGATTTTATATTATTTTTTTAAGATTTCATTTATTAGAGAACAAGTGGGTGGAGGGGCAGAAGGAAAGGGAGAAGCAGACTCCCTGCTGAGCAGGAAGCCCGATGACGTCAGGCTCGATTCCAAGGACCCTGAGATCATGACCTGAGCTGGAGGCAGACACTTAACAAGCTGAGCCACTCAGGCACCAAGAACAGAATTTATTTTTTTTAAAGATTTTATTTTTTGACAGAAGAGACACAGTGAGAGAGGGAACACAAGCAGGGGGAGTGGAAGAAGGAGAAGCAGGCTTCCTGCTGAGCAGGGAGCCCGATGCGGGGCTCGATCCCAGGGACCCTGGGATGATGACCCGAGCCGAAGGCAGATGCCTAACGATTGAGCCACCCAGGCGCCCCAAGAACAGAATTTAGATAGATCTATCACAAAGGATTAAATTCTTCAATGGCAAGCTCTTCTCTACCCTCATGCCCTCAGCTTAAAGAAAAGAGGATGAGGGGCACCTGGGTGGCTCAGTCAGTTAAGCATTCGACTTGACCTTAGCTCAGGTCTTGATCTCAGGGTTGTGAGTTCAAGCCCCGTATTGGGCTGTACACTGGGCATGGAGCCTCCTTAAAAAAAAAAAAAAGAAAGATAAAAATAGAATGAATGGAATGGAGGAAAGCCTTCACAAGAAAAAAAGAGATTGCAAGAGCATTAAAATGATCCAATCTGAGCATAATTAGAATCAATATAGGGACTCAAAAAATATAGAACTCAATAAAAGGAACAAAAAAAAGCACTCACAGATACCATGCAGAAAAATTTCCTTGAAATAAGGGATCTGAATCTGTTCACTCCCCACCTCCAATCTACCAGAAGGAATTGGACCACTTCTCACTACCTCTCCTGCTACTATTCTCATCTAAGCCATGATCATTTCTCCCCTGCATTGCTATAATCAGGAATGTAATAGTCTCTTAACTGGCATCCTGAGTCTTCTATCCCGCCACGCTTCAGCTTCCATTTCACTAAAGCTGCTTTTAAAATTATAAGATGAACTGTCTCAACTCTGCTGCTCAAAGCCCTCCAGCAGCTCCCCATTTCATTCAAAGTAAAAGCCAGAGTCCTTACAGTGAGTAGCCTAAAAGGTCTTATCTGCCTCTCTTTACCTCTCTGACATAATTTCCCACTACTCTCCCCCTCAGGTACTCCATTCTAGCCATACTGGCCTCATTACTGTCCCTTTTATACCCTAGATATGTTCTCCCCTTCAGGCCCTTAAGGCGTTCCCTCTGCCAGGAATGTTCATCTTCAGATATCTACATGAAATAATTCCTCACTTCCTTTAGGTCTTTTCTCAAATGCTACTTGCTCTGTGGTTATTCATGAAAAACTACTGAATTTGGGGTAAGAAGAGCATGACTCTGGGGCATTACTGCCCAAGGCTGTCCCCATCACCCCCAGGTCAGTGGGAAAGGTAGTTCTACCAAGGTAGGGAAAGCCATAAACACCAGCAGCTTCACTCACAGAGAGGGATGACTAGATATGAAGCAAAGCACAGAATGCCACACCCATCACTGTCAGTAACAATGTGTATTCTTGGTGGCAATGAACAAGCAAGACAAAGGACCTGAGGATGCTGTCACAGTTGGTACAAGCAATGGGCCAGCAGACTAGACAGAATTTAAAGGGAAATCTGAAAACAAGACTATAAAGGGTAAGTGCTCACACATCCATACTAGAGAGACCAGAGAGGATCTACCAGGAGCCTGCAAAAACAGGAAGAAAAAACATGAGAGGGCCCAGTGGAAAGTACAAGTTTGAGCAGACTTTTAAAATGTCTGAATTTTGAAGGAGCTCCCCTTCACACACAAAGATCTACTGGCAGAAAGTGGAAACTCTCCTAGGTCAACGTGTTTAGCACAATCTTTGACAAGTGGCTAACTGACCACTAAGCTATACAAATACAGGTGTGATTCCAGGAAGACAAACTTAAAAATAAAAACAAATTAAAAAAACACAAAACACTAAGCAGGTAATAGCAGCCACACACTCAGGAAAAATACTCCACAGATTTAGTCCAGGCAACAAAACAAAACAACCCTCCAAGGGAAAAACAAATCAAGCAAAGTTGCTACAATATATTATGTAAAATGTCTAGTTTCAACAAAAATTTATGAGACATGTAAAGATGCAGGAAAGTATGACCCAAACTGAAGAGGGGGAAAAAAACCATCATGGAATTGAAAATATCTCTGAGTAGGTCCAAATGCCAAACTAAAACAAAATCTTCAAACTGCTTTAAAGGACTAAAGAAAAATATGAGGACAATGCCATAAACAGAAAATTTCAACAAGAAGATAGAAATCATATAAAAAGAGGTAAACAGAAATTCTAGAGTTGAACACTGGAGTAGAAGAAAAAAATATCAGAAAAACTGGTATCTAATCTGAAGAGAGAAAAGAATAAAGAAAAACAAAGCCCCAGAGACCTAAGGAACAACATCGAGTATAACAAGTGTGGAGTTCCAATTTAGAAGTTCCAGAAGTGGAGAAAAAGGACAGAAATAATGACCAAAAACAATGCAAGCTGATTTTTTTTTGTAAGTAGGCTCCATGCCCAATGTGGAGCCCAACACTTCCAGCGTGGAGCCCAATGCGGGGCTTCAACTCACAACCCTGAGATCGAGTCAGACACCTAACTGACTGAACCACCCAGGTGCCCCAGAAACTGATATTTTTTTAAAAAATTAATCTACAGGGGCTCCTGGGCTCAGTTGGTTAAGTGTTCGACTCTTGATTTCAGCTCAGGTCATGATCTCAGACTCTTGAGATCCAGCCCGCATCAGGCTCCATGCCGAGCATGGAGCCTGCTTAAGATTCTCGCTCTCCCTGGGGTGCCTGGGTGGCTCAGTGATTAAGCATCTGCCTTCAGCTCAGGTCACGATCCCAGGGTCCTGGGATCGAGCCCCACATCAGCTCCCTGCTCAGCGGGGAGCCTGTTTCTCCCTCTGCCTGTCAAATAAATAAATTTTTAAAAAAGAAAAAAGATTCTCTTCCTCTCTCTCTCTAAAAAAAATAAAAATAATAATCATCTACAGACTCAAGAAGTTCGATGAACCACAACTACAATAAACACAAAGAGATCCATACCTAGACATATAGTAAAAATGATAAAATCCATACCTAGACATATAGTAAAAATGGTTAAAAAAAAACCAAAACACCTAAAACAGAAAATCTTGACAGAAGCAAGAAAAAAACCCAGCTCATTTACCAGGAAGCAACAATATAACCGGTTGCTAATCTCTCATCAGAAACAAGGAAAGTCAGAAGACAGTGAAATGACATATTCAAAATGCTGAAAGAAAAAATTGTCAAGCAAGAATGTTTTTTTAAATTTTATTATGTTATGTTAGTCACCATACAATACATCATGAGTTGTTTTTTTTGTTTTTAAGATTTTATTTATTTGACAGAGAGAGAGAGAGAGCAAAAGCAGGGGGAGCAGTAGAGGAAGAGGGAGAAGCA